CATCTAAAATAATGGACAATCAGATGTCTACTCAACCAGAAATCTTAATTTTTGGACAGGTAGTAGCTTCGAAATAACCAAGTGTATTACTTCGATTTAAGAATAAAAAATTTTTTGTTTTTAGTACTCTCGGAGAGTACTCAGTAAATTCGTCTTTCTCATTACAAAAAAAAAAAAAAAATCCTCCATCAAGAAGGGAAGCAGTTATCGAATCGAGAAAAACCTTCAATTTAATTTAACTTTGTCCATAAAAAATTACACTTTTCACCGTTCTACATTTCGTCCCATCGTCTCCTAAAAGTCAATAAGTTTTCTCACAAAAGCAGAGCTTTAAAAAAATTTCCTACAAGGCTTTTCTGCTTTTTGAATGAATAAAAGCAAATGAAAAGATGGAAAATTTGTTCGTCCTATTATATTTCGAAATATATATGAATTGAAGTGAAATTAAACAATAATAGTAGTAGCAAATTTTTAATTTTGCGAATTTAAAGGAAAATTTTCAAAAATCCTATAGCATAACAGCAAAAAAACCAAAATTTCTTTTCCAGAAGTGATTTTTTCTCCCTACTCAATTTTTAAATGACGAATAAATTGAACCGAGGAAAAAAATAAAAGAAATAAATCTTTCAGAAAAAAGACGAAATCAGTTGATATTACAAAGTAAAACTCAGAGTAGTACAAAATTGTTTTCTACGAAATATCTTTGCTAAACAATTGAAACAGACCTGGAATTATGAAAATTGCAAAGTTAATTTTATCCTAAAACTAATTCCTCAAAGTGAATCATTTGAAGTATACGTTGTCATTGATTGTTATCTATATATTAAAACAGAGTGGAAAATTGTAGTTAATCTCAAGGTACTTAGATTTTTAATATACTCATCACAGTATATAAATTTATGTTAACTGTTAGTCGACGAATAATTCCTCAAAAAGAAGCAATAAATGAACAAATATCCAAAGGTATACTGAAAATTGTGATAAAATTAATGTTTAAATTGAAATTGTGAATGATGAAGATATTGAGGAACAATGGAGTTTTGCTCAGCACTATCAGTGAGCGAAAGTTAGTATTTCATAAAGAACTGTACCAATGACTTTTCATATTTTCTAAAACATGGAAGCTTATCAGTTTTAAGGATTGTGGCACTTACTAATTGATAACTAAATAGTCAAAAAGATCAAAGAAAATGGTTATCAAACAAATACATTCAACTGGAAGAGATGAATGGTAAAACACCAGTGAATTGCCAAGTGACTAGAAAGTAACTTAGCAATTTATGAGAGATAAATGATTGAGATATCAGTGAGCTGTTAAATTACCAGTGAACAAATGCGGCAATATGGAAATAGAAACTAAAAGATGAGATGTTAAAGATACAGCGGTTACAATAAATGGAGTTTGCACAGATGGATGAGTGAGTAGGAGAAACAAAACTATCACTTGCTATTTTTTAGATTTAAATAGCATATATTCAGATGAACATAAAGGAAATAAGAAGGAGAATGAAATTAATTAAAATGTGAACTTTTATAGTGATTTAAAATTTTGGTTCCACATTAGTCTGATGTTTGCTATATTTTGAAACAATATCTATCACGTATGATTCACCCTAATCGATCATTAAATTAAACTTAAAAGTTGGTTAAAGAAAAAGAAATTAGTGTTTGGATAACACTGAGAGATACATTAATGTTATTGAAAAGGGCAATCAATTTGTCAAACATTTAACGAACGATCAATGAGAGGTTAACTACATGTGTCTTTTTAACATAATGAAACATAAGGAATATGATAGCATTAATGGTTTTCACAGCCTTACTCTGACTCATACCTGTTACTTCCTTCGACTCCTTTATAAAAAAGATGCATGCGCAATCTTTTTGTAACTTCAATTCAATAAATTCATGTTTGAATTTATTGAAATAAAATCAAAAAGTATTCTCAATCCTTGTCAAATAAAATGAAATTCAATGTGACCACATAATAATTAATCAAAACGGAAGATAAGGAAGACATCTGATTAGTTAGTAATTAGACTATAGATAAGGGTTGAGTTTCTCGGCAAGCGTTTTTATCATTAGAGGTACATCTGAACGATGATTCACACTCTCATTATTTCCCGTTCCCAAAATTTGAAAAAAATCTGCGAAATTTATTGCAGAAATGGATTTCTTTCCTTCTTTTTAACTTTTCATCTTCTCTTTGTATTTTATTTTTTTTTAACTTGTACTTTTCTTTTTTTTTTTTTTTTTTGGGGAAAGCTATAAGACATCTGTTAGTTGAATAAAACAGTTTGTTGCCCGATAGGAAGCTTCACGAGAGATAGGGAGAGAGAGAGAGAGAAAGGAAGATGAAAAAGAGAGGAGGAGATGGTGTAAAGGAAGGAATAGGGCGAAGAAATGAATGGGGTTTTTAACCTCCCATTTCGATGAGACATTATTAAATATCTTAATGAGATATACAAGTACATTAAATCGATGAATCAAAACTATTCATCATAATTGCTTTTATAAAAATAAGCATTTGCTGTAGCCACAATATTGTTGATATCAATAGAAATTTTATGTTTGATTTTACTCATTTAATGATGAGCTTTTTCCTGCAGAATCGGAACTTCGGGGAGTTTAAGAGAAACGCTAATTTTTACTTGATAATGAAACACTGTTCAAATAAATTCCTCGGCTACTAATGAAGAAGAATTGTAGCTCATAAAATGAAACGTTTTTTATAGAAGCAGTCTACAAGTCAACTAGTGCTTTCTTTCCAAGCAGTTTTTTTTAATATGTGAAAAATGTTTGACACGAAAAAAACTGATAAAAATTCTCAAATTTTTATGAAAAGCTTAAGACAGTAAAAATTTAGAATGCATTGTAAAGTTTTTAGCTCTATTTTCTGATGCATTTCAAAAAATTAAAATGATTGCTTAGAATACTGCCATTTATGTAAAATAGTTTCTAGTGAATAAAAGTAAAAATTTAAGACAACACAAACTATTTGAGGAAAAAGAACAAACTTTTGGCCAATTTAGTTGCTTTTCTCATTTACTAGTTCAATCCTTTTTTCTCAATCAATAAAATCATAAATGATTATTTGAGCATTACGTCATTATTCCTTTCCCCTATCCTCCATCTTTCATTCCTCCTTTTTCTCCTGTATCTAAGGCTTTCCAAGCTATTCCTTTTCGTATTTTTAAGTTATTCATATACGAATTCAAGCTAAAAAATCGACAGTTATCTTCAAAGATAAACACGACATCTCTTTGAGATAAATTTCGTGAGGCGTTAAGAAAACATAAAACCTTTTCATTCCACTGCAAATGCAGCGCAAAATAGTAAAAAAAAAATGCGAAAAATATCACTTTGTCATTTTGCTTGCAGTCAACCTTATCAAAACAGCACATATTATCAGTGCCAGTTAATGATAAGGTTACTTTGGAACACTATTTTAAGAATATCATACTCAAAGCATGAACAACTATTATTTTGAAGAAAAAGTCATTAAAAGAAGCTTATAAATCATTTGTGTAAAAAATTTTAAATTTCAGAATTTCAAATGGTTTAAATTTGGAACAAATAGCATATCTAAACAAATGATCTTGTCCCATGCTTACCATTTTTCTAATTAAGAGATATAAAGAAATATCCGGCAACTGGTCTTTGAAACTTTCTTAAATTTTCAAATTAACATTTTTACTAACCCTATCATTCTTATCCACCATTTTCAAGCGAATGTAAGAATAGTTCAATAAATAATAAAGAAAAACGATGTAATTAGGGTGGATTAAACTGTTGAAAAAATTCTCATTTACAATGTCTATCAATATTATTCATTCATCTACGCAGAAAAATTGCTTCACAGCGGTCCAATCATTATTTTGCATATGTCACACAAAAGTTGACGAAATGTACGGAATGATTGGTTAGTGAATAAGTAAGACACATTAAATGAGAAATTTTTCAATACTCAAATTAAATGGACTCCAATGTTTAAATTACTAATTTTTAATGTTAATGTGCAAGTTGATCCACGACATTTTTCTACCTTGTTCATTTGGATCCTTTCTTCCTCTCTCCTTTCCCTTTCTCCCTTATTCGTTTTATTCTAGGGAAATTTCTTGCTAACAGCCCCTTTTTCTCATTTTTATATTTATTTCTGCTAATGAAATAGCTCAAAATTTGGACATGACGACTTCTATATGTGTTCCAAAATACTTGAGGAAGCCTAAACTTCCTTGAGAATTTATTGTTGTAAAAAATCTTTTGAAGAGGCACAAATCAAAAAATTACGCCGCCGTAGTTTTACTTCATAGTTCCACCAAACTTTTAAGAAAGCTAAGTTGCAGATTTTTCAAACCCAGAATGGAAACTTCGCACTCCACTGAAAAAACTGGAAGGAAATCCGGATCATTCTCCCTCAAGGAACAAATATTGATTTGAAATCCATTTTGGCACACAATTATTTCGGAAGAATTGAAAATAATAACTGTATAGCAGTGTAAATTACTATGGTAGAAAAATGACCATTCGGAAACACACTTAAAACAGTAAAGTCAAAACAGTAGTGTTAGTAAATATAAATCGACCATTACTTCAATAATAATCTGTCCAAAGAATGCAAACATTAAAATATGAATAACGACAAAACCATCATTACTTACCGATTTGGAAGCATATGTATTCTTTGGATATAAATCAACTGTGTAATTAGCCTTGTTTGAACAAGTGCATTGCTTCTAGCTCATATTAGTTCAATGATATCAGTTTTACCACACACAGATTGTTAAACTGAGGAATGAAATCTCCAAAATGTGTATATTTTTCTAACTGATCAACAATTAAATATACAATAGGAAATTAATTGATAATGAAGAATACAAAAAGTGAGAAAAGAATTGTACTGAAGGTATTATTGTATTCAAAAAATGTATCTTATAGAGGGCACACAAAATGAAATGAGATCTCGATATTCAATACTCGGTGTTACAAAAGAAATTTTGTTAAGGCATTTTCAGCTCTACCTTCACTTTTTCATCACTTTTCAAAGCTTGCAACTCATGTACAATAGCATATGTTGGCTTTTGCCTTACACGTTGCTGACGATGAATGCAAATGCTTAGTAGACCAATCGTGACCAAAATCTGAAATAAGCAGGCATTTGTAAGCTTTTATATCTCTTTTTAAACCATTATGATTCTCCACATTTATTATTTCTTTTAAACCATTGTAATCCTTTGAATCTTACAGAATGTAATTTGGCATCTACTTACTATCTCCTATTCTCAATTTCCTCAAACTTAATCAACTTTTGTGTAGCTTTTAGTCACCAGAACATGACAGTAAATGAGCTAACCCATACATCATGATGGAAAATTAATAGCAAAGTTGAACTAATTAAATTAGTGAAAGAGAAAGGAGAGACAGTACATATAAAACAATGTACATAGAAACATGCATGTTTGCATGTTGAAGAACTGATGTGAAAATGGAAAACTGACCAGTGCTGCTAAGATAATGTAGAATGGCATTTTATATGGGTACTGACACATAGTACAAGGTTGTAAAAGCACTCGATATTGTGGAGTAATGTGTAACTGCTCGATAGTTGGGATCACTTCATGCCAAAAATTAGTTACATTACTATAGAATTCCACTGGAGCATTAGTGTTTCGATGACTGATCGGTGTAGCTACGCGGTAAATCATTCTGAAGCGTTCAAAACCATCTCTACTAAGATCCCTAAAAATCATCGATAGAAGTATTGAGAATTTGTTTGGATCATTTCTGCAAAAGCTCTTTCTTCATTCGCCTATCAGAATTGGAAAAGATTTTTTTTTTTTTTTTTTCATGGACATTAAAGTCTGATGTTCTGCTTCCCACAACTCATACAGTGTTTTCATCCTTATTTTCCTCCAAATTTAAAAGCTATAACTTCTGACCTTTCACGAATAAAGTTAGTCATTTGGCTGATAAGTTGCTGGGTGATTTTTCGATCATCATCATTCCATTCGATTGTTTTAAGTGAAGAGTCGGAGAGCTTAGGATTGTTAAATATAAATGAACAATCGTTACCGTGCGAAGCTCCTGAAATGCTCATCTCATCAATCATCAAAATATTTTGCAGAATGTGAAAAATTTGAAAAGCTACTTGATTAGCACTTGAAAACATATAATGATACGTACAATATTTTAAAACACGACACAGTAAGCATTTCTAACGTGGAATTTACCTTGTTGAATTCCATTTTTTCTTACAGATGCCAACAATTGAGCATTTTCATACTGAAATATGTATGCATACACAGTACGATTTTTTCTCGCATAAAGCAATGCTTCACGTGCTGCAGGAGCAATGAAATATTGATCTGAAAAGATTTGAAATAACCATAAAATTTTGCAAATTTTCACTAAAAAATGAATTTCGTTTTTTCGAAATTTACCAGAAATAAGCATCTAAGAATATTTCTAAAAGCATTACTACCAAAAAAAAGAAAAAAAATCAAAGCATACAATTTCAATTTCGTGAATTTATGAAAAAAGTGCAGATTTCATGAACGACAATTTAATAGCTTACCAGATAAAATATTAAGAATTATATTACGCCGTTCAGCTTCATTCATATTTTGTGGATAATCGGTTAGGTACTGATATTCAACAGCTTTTCGGACCTCAATTTTAAATCTGTAGAGTTATCTTGTAAAGTTGTTGTATATTCTTGTCTGCAAGACGAACTCAACATTCGTCCCAAATCAGTGAGACGGCTGAACAGCTATAAAGGTGGGAGAGCACATTCATTTCACAAACTCAGTCTTTCTAAAATTATTCAGAATTAAACCAAATCATTAGCGTGATAACAAGAATATATAACATAACTCAGACCTCACTTTTCACATAACCATATTTCAAAGTTAGAATATATGAACATGAGTATTATTAGTACCTGTTTATAATTAGCGTGCAGATAAGAAGGTATAACATGACTCAGACCCCACTCACCACTTTCCATATAACCATTACTGCTTGCTAAAACAAAAAAATTTCGATTGGAAGAATCGAAATTTTTAAATTCAAATTAAGGACCCAACTTCCGTTTGAAGAAATATAAAAGAGTTTAAGAGGAAAAGGAAATAGTAGTAAATATACATATATATGCGCTATTCATTTGAGCAACTTCTCCATTTGTGACACCGATCAGCAAAGGCATTCGTGGATTCTGAAGCAAAATGGACATAGGATCGCCGGGAAGAACACTGGCCTCGATGCGGTATGGATCAGTGGTTGGCGTGAAATAGGTAGGGTCCATAAAGGGGTTCCCATTACCCTAAACAAATTACTTTAATGAATATTGATCAGTAGAGAGTTGAGGTATCCGTGGATTGTGACAATTTGGAAGTACTCACAACAATGGCAGTAGCCAATTTGGCGATGTGCTTCCATGCTTTTTGCAATTGTGCTACTGGGATTTTTTTCAGGCATTCTACCGTGCGTGGCATTCCCAAACTTTGGTTGTAGTCACAGCCACAGTAATCGATTAAACGTGCTGAATAGTTTTCAGTGGACACAGATCTTACTGCCCACGGAGCAATAGAGCTTCCGCTCCGTAATATAACACCACTGAACAGTCCTAGAAACGTAATGAAGTTAGATGCAGTAAGAACGAATCTCGAACCACCCAACTAAGAAGGCTTACTATGTATGCTGTAGAAAAAAGATACTAAAAACTAGTTGTGCAATACAAAGATAAGCTAGAAACCAAGCTTATGTCATACGAATTTCTTTCGATAGTATATATTTTTATATGTTTGGAACATTTAAATATACTAAATGTGAATCCCATTATATATATATATAATGGGACTCACATATATTTCCACCCCAAAAACAAACCCACCCCTAGTCTTCGGTGAAACAGCTAAAATACTTGCGCAAGCGGCACCGGCACCTATGCCACCAACAACAATGTTATTCAGATTGCCATCGAAATTCCGAGCATTTGCCCGAATCCAACGAATTGCTTCAATTTGATCATCCAACCCGTAATTGCCATGCAAATCTCGATGACTAGCTGTTAAAAATCCTGAAATAATAAAATATGTTGTTTTTATCCTTCACTCATCCATTTTGCTTATCATTCTTTTCATCATTGGTATTCTTGATGAATAAGTGTTATGGGTTGTCAAGACTGGGTAGAAATAATCTGACAAGAGTTCATAATTTTGATCTCTACTTCTAAATTAGAAGCACCGGCTCGGAATTTTAGTTGTATTTGTTTATAAGGAGAATTGTCCCAGTTTAGTAGTGCAAATAAGTGAGTAATTTTCAATTATCTCAATGCCTTTTTCATCTTGTGTTCTGCAAGAATGAAATTATCTCTAAATGATGAAAACTACAAACAGAACCACTTAAAAAATCATAATTTCATGGAAGCATTCTCTTTCCTTTTTTTCCGCTTTCTCATTATTCAAATAGTGCAAACTTGTTAAACCTTTTAGACTTAAAGTAACCTTTTAGAGGAATAATAAATTTATAAGTTAAAAATTATGAGAAAGAAGTATGAATTCATAGAGAGGAAGTGAAAATAACCATTTACCAAGCGGGCCTAGTCGATAATTTATGGCCACAAAAATAATGCTTTCTGAAGCAAAATGTTGCACGATTGACTCGGTCGGAAAAATAGTTGTATCGCCTGTCTAAAAAATTGGAAATTGTCAGCAAGACAGTTTCCATCTAAAAAATAACTAATTTAGTAAGAATTGTTATTACCTGGAAAGAACCTCCATGTATCCAAATTAATATTGGGTACAGTTTGTTTGCTTCCTGAAAAGCAAAAAATTATGCACATTTTGGTTGCGCCTGACGTTGACGTTTACGAAATACACTTGTCAGAGAATATTTTTTCAAGTGGAATTTTGCTTGACTTGTCAGATAATCGAAGAAATCAAAAAAGAAAAAAAAAATGGATAGAGAAAAGAAGAAAATTCTCCACTACGTAAATTGATTTGACTATCAATTGAAGTTTTTTTATATCTCAGATTAATAACGAGCAAAGTAAGTATTAAATTATTTTTCCAAGTTCTGAATAATAGAATAATTTTGATGATACAATTAAAAAGCAAAGTTTAAAACATCTAGTTTGTTGCATCCTACTACAAAAGAGATTTCTATAATTTTCTCTCATAAATTGCCACTTTTAGAGACCAAAAAAAAAAGAATTTCATTTTATCTGGTCAATTTGTTGGTATACACTAATTAATAAAGTAGACAATTTGTTTGAGTTAGCAAATACCATTTTTTTATGAGGTATAACAATGGTAGCATATAGGCAGTCCTCGGTACCATCGTATTCGTTGGAATATTGTCCAAATTGCACACAACGTACTACTTCACGCTTACCACAGTTCCTTGTCTTATTCCAGCCGATCAGAGTTTTTGTGGCCTACAGTTTAATTTTGACATTTCAATTTACATTGAGCATTAAGCAGACAGACTTCAAAAAATAATAAAAAATAATATATATATATATATATAACATAATTACGAAAGAGATTAGTAAGAAATAAACAAAAATTCATATGAAACTTTGTTAAATCAATAAAAAAGAGCAACCAAAGAAAGTTTTAGACAAAATTTCTTCACGGAAGTGTATTTGAACATAACCATTTTTTTCTACATCACATTCAGTATCTCTTCTTTCATGTTTTGAATTTTATGTTTCTTTCATTTAGGTACTATAATTGAAATAAAATCTTAAATTTTAGGCAAAAAATTTCTACTCTGAAGGAGTTTGAATTTCGAATGCCTTAAACAATTGAATTTCAAATCTGTTGAATGTTTTAGTCTGAGAGCGTTAATATTCGTGTTCTTTACGAAAAGATTTCATTTATACAAATATATGAGTTTTTCTAAAATCAGGATCAAATTTGTAAATTGTATACAACCATTGCATTTGTGCTTTGCAAGTACATATTTGCATCATAACCTACCACGTTCAGATATTATCATGTCAAATTTACTTCAAATCGCAAAGATCCGATAGGTGGCTGAGCATATGGAACATTTTCGTAAACTTCGGCAAGTATTCCATTAAATTCCATATAGTATCCTGAGATTCCTCCATGAGTTGTTTGCCGTGATGGTAGAACATCGGTTGCTATTGCTGAAAGTAAATTTCTACTCTGAAGGAGTTTGAATTTCGAATGCCTTAAACATCAATTTTAATAAAGTAATTTTTCTTTGCCTTTCATAGCACTATTATTCAGGAATAATAGGATTTTTTTTTTTATGCAGTGATTTCAATCCACTAATAATTCATTTCCAAAATTTTAAACAATTGGAAAAATTATGAGAACATTTCCCTCCCTAAATCCAACTGACCAAATACCATCAAGTGACAAAGCTTAAAATGACAAACTTACATGCTTCAGCATTAAATGATTTATTGTTCATAATTATATTGGCAGTTGCAAAAGTTGCGTGCAGTAAATGTAGTAACAAAACATGTTCAATGCGCATTTCAATTCAAATACCTATAACTCAAAACTTTGAAGCTAAGTATGAATGATTGTAAACATATTTTGAGAATATTTTTTCGTCATTTTAAATCAAAGTAATGATAAAGTGGACTTAAATAGATGATTTAATGAAGATTTCATACTGACTAAAAAAGATAAGACTGGAAATCGAAATCAAAAAGATTTCCAAAATGCATGTCCTTTCTAAATCTTTTTTAATTATCAATTTAACTCCTTTTTCAAAATCTCCTCAGTAAATAGATCGTGGGATTTTCATAAGTTTGAGAAAAGATTTTGAAAGGTAATCATAAAAACCATAGCAGTACGAAAGCATATTAACACTTATTGGACCAGCTTTTTGCTATATTTTTTACTCATTTTAACTGTGTATGACGACTTACTCTCAAACTGTCGTAATAAAGAAAGAAAAATCTAACTGATATCACAATCTTTAGAAATTTTTTTAAAGCTTATTCAAAATTAGAGATATCAAGAACAAAATTAGAATTTTAGCTTTGCTGCAAACAAACATATTTATTTTTCTCATCTTTGCATGAACTAATTGTAATTCCACTCATTGATAACTTTTTCTTCAACTTACGAATTATTGGGAAGAAGTCGGCAATAGTGAACTAAAAAAGAAAATCGCAAACTGCTAAGAGTGGTGAAAATAAAAAGATTAAGGAAGGTTCAGAAATTGAAAAGATGATAGGAGGTACAAGTGAAAACAGAATTAATGAAAACGAAAAACATGAAAAAGAGTAATGACCATAGAAATTATTTTCCACCTTATTCAAGCTGAAGAAATAAAATAACAAAGGACAATAACCACTAGTAAATAACCATTGATAAAAAACGGGTAGATGCGCAATTGTTACTTGAATTAAATTCATCTAAAACATCGATAAATGCGAAGACATGCCAACGAAAAGTACAAAAATACAAGTCGAGTTTAAAAGTACCACATAATAATTTCAGGCCTTCAGAAATTTTAGAAAAACAAACGATTTTAAAAAAAAAAACCTGCATTTGGAAAATTTGAATTATCAAAATCGTGCAGAAAACGAAAAACTATTAGCATGAATATCGAGTGAATATTTTGCTTTCTTGGTTCTACATTTCAACAATGAGATTTCATAATCAAATTACACCTGAACTTTACTTCGAATTTGCATCATTAAATTATATTTTCATTATGAAAAACTTAGAAACAACTTACATTACTTAGAAGCTAAAAAGACATGAAAACACGAAAAAGCAGATTCATTACATTTTAGAAGTAATTTTTTAAGAAATTTGACAAAGTCTAGTAAGAGTAGAAACTGATGAATGTATGATGAATCTCTGATGAAACAGTTACCTTGAATTGGTGCAAATTAGCTAGAAGTCGGATTATTGTGAATAAACTCGGTACTTGCTTACAAACAAGTAATTGTGGAAAAAATCTGTTGTTTATGAATCATAGAAATCGGAAAAAATACATAAGTTTTCTGCAAAACTATGGAAAGCAGCATTGTTTTATTTCTCATTATTGTTAAATATAGAATTACGTGATGGGAATTTCTTTCCCGAACTTCTTGTGTTTAAGATTAATGACCTCTTATTAGATAATTCGTTTGAAGGTTACGATATTGAAAAAGCGTGGATTTGATCCCGAGTCAAAATCATCGAAATGTTTCATACAATCAAAATCTTAACTTTGTACTTTCTAATGTTCCATAAGGCTAAGTGGTAATTGAGAAAGTAATAGGAATTTGCTCGAGTAATTTTCACTTATTGTGAACTAAAAATATGAATTTTCCAAATACCTTCAGACTTTGTTGCAGAGCTCCAATTCAGTGAATAAGTCGGAGAATAAATACCTATATATAATGGAAATCCTATTTGAAAAAATATTTGTAATTTAATAGTTGTTATGAAACCAAAATACATATATATAATGTATCTTTAGGCTTGCTTCTATTCTCTTAAAGATTGATTTTTTTTTTTTTTTTTCTGGAATATGCACTAGAAAAGGATTATTCTATGCATTACACATTTAGATTCATTAGTAATCGAAGTTGGAGGGAACTTAAACGAACCTGGAAAATAAGACCATTGCATTGCTAATGGAATACCAAGGATGTTTTCTATTTTTTCTTCCAGTTATTTACGTTGTGGTAATGAAATCCCGACTTTTCAGAGAAATTTTGGTGAAATTCGATTGAAACAAATGTTTTGTTTTATAACTTCCGTTCTTTAAATTTTTTTCTTAATCCAACATTTGGAGATGCACTTTTTAATATTTTTACGTAATAGGAAAATACTACTAATATATCTAAGAAATCTTGGCTGTTGAAAAACTACGACCTAATTTCGATTGAGGTTTAACAGGCACGGTTGAAGAAAGAAAAAAGAGGAACTTGTCTTTCTTTGCAAGAATTCAATTACAGTATCAACAGTTTGTGGCAAGATTAAATTAGCAAAAACTAGCCAGCATAAACAGATAAACAGAACGAAAAAACTATTTCTCAGAAAGAAATAAAAGTGAGAACAGTTAATAAATAAGTTAATATTTAATAGTTGAAGGATAAGCATACTATAAAGCAAATAAGAGAAATAATGAAGCAGTAAAAAAGAAAAAAAAAGATTAAAATATGGTAGCAAAGGTGGATAAGCACAAGAAACAACCCGAAGAAGAATGAATGGATGGAAGAGGCATATGTTCATCTATTACATCAAACTAAGAAACTGACAACAAACGAAAACGTTTGTTCCCTTGTTGAGAGCGCAACTGCCGGCTGTTTATTGATGCGGATTAGAGATATTGCTCATTTTTGAATATTACTTACAATTGGGAAAAGCATATTTTAAACACGATGTTGCAAGCAAACAATTAAAGTAAACGACAATCCTGAAAAAGATCGCTTAGGAGGATGTTCAGTAGAGTACAAAGTCAGCAAGTGTATTATTTGTAGTACTCACCTAACAAACAAACAAACAAAAAGCAACAGATATACGTTAGCGCTATTTAAAAACAACAGCGTATAATTTACGCATTTATTAATAGCTATTTTAAAAAAATTTTATGCATTATAGTTGGTCACAAACTTTTGCAAAGGGTAAGAAATGTCCACTTGCACTCAACCAACAGATAACAAATGCGTATTTGCGCTAAAGTCAATAGCGCACGCACTGCTATCTTATCACAAGCACAGAACTGTACTTCTTTAAAATTTAAAAACTTAAAAACATGCATTCTTACCCCTACAGAATCACTAAATGCACATTTGGGTTTATCAAGGCTATCAAAAGAGTCAACAAGCGCACATATGCATTATTAACTTATCACAATGATTTTCAAAAGCTAGCAGATTTACATTTATGCGTTGTCAGTTTATTATAAATTATAAACACACATTTACGCATTCTTAGATAAGTAAAAATACAATTTAAGTGACATTACTTAAGCATACTTCAGCACTATTAATTTACAACAAGTGGACATCTATGCTAGTGGCAACCCACACAAACACACATTTATGCAATAATAACCTTCACAAAAACACATTCATGTGATGAAAAATGTAGATGTGCGCACTACTGATCAACAACTAAAAAAAATGTTAACTGACTAAAAGGCTTTAGATAGTCCTTATCTTTTTTTATTACGAAGTTTCACCATCGATAAATTTCATTTTAATAGCACTGGATATGGTACACCTGTGGTCTGGCATATGAATGAACTGCTTAGAACCTTTTTGGTTGAAACAAACATTTCAGTTGCTTATCTACTGAAAATCGGGAATCGATAGCTTTTTTCAATAATTTTTAAGATGAGAAACTGGAAAAAGCTCAAGGTATAGTTGTCATATCGCAGAAGAAAAATATGCAAATTTTAGAATTACCGGCCGCCGTTGGTAATAGTTAAAACTGAAGAATAATGCAGTCTTCTAACTTACAGTATTTTAATTATCTACTGAACATAAAAAATAATGCTATTAAAGGCAAGTATGAACGTAATCAGTTGATCATATTCATTTCAAATGATGCGGGTTTTGAAACGATTTTTGGTTTCTTTTCAAAAGATTCCTTCGGGCGAACTCGGTATGAGAAGTATGAAAAAGCGATACTGATCCCAGCTGGAACCTTTATTACAATTGGTTTTAATTTAAACACATTGTTCTACTTAAAATCCCAGTGAGGGGAAAAAAGACATTTGGATGATTAAACTATAATACCACTTGCAGCTTATGCGTATAATATAATGCTTTGAAGTTACAAAACCTCCAATCATATTTACACGTACTGTTTGCCACTTACGCGTTGACTCCAATTGCGGAACGATATGCACTTTTATTCTCCCTCTCCTAAAAATGAATTTTGTCGTGAAAGACGAAATATTTAAATTATTATATCCAAAACTAACAAATTCCTCTTATCTAATTCCTAAATCTAATTTACATTTACAAAATTCTTCTCACACCTGATGATTCAATTTCCGAATATTTTTGCATTTGTAATTCAGCTATGACTCATACTAATCTATTTCCTCCTTTCATACAATAAAACTAATCTTGTTAAATAGCGATAAGATGTGATAAAAATAATTAACACCTGCAAAATTGTTTAGGGAAATCATTACATTGTTAACAATCTTGTTTTTTCATCCATAGAAATTCTTCCATCTAATTTCCATTCATTAAATCAGTCTTATATATAAACCAACCAATCCTTCTATAACCATCATTTGCTTTATGTTTTGGGTGGTTTGGGATGCGTCTAATACTTTATAATTTTGTATTATTTCACCATTTTTATATTATTGCATTTATATAGTTTACGCGTTTGTTAAACGGTGTAGCATCCGTACGATATGTATAAAGCGCTATTATTTGCCTCATGTTAAATAAAGGTTTAATTACCCAAGTTTGAGGTTTCACGACAAATTTCATTTTACTGCTGAAGGCTCACAAAGAAAATGCCATATCCCTTCTTCTACTCCCAACATATTATTCCTCT